TCTTGAACTTGTTGACGGATTTTGATGGTTTTAGTAACATTCGATACATATTGATGTTGTTTCAATATGTTATCATTTGCGTAATGATCGGACACACAGGTTCTTTCTTGGCATTAATCCTTTACTTCAACCACTCCAGAAGGCTGTAGATGAAGATGAAAGAAAAGAGAACTCTTGAACGTGTTGACGGATTTTATGATTTTGCAAACATTCGTTACATATTGATTTTAGTAACATAAATTTATTTTTTTAATTTGGTATAGCGTAATTTTTTTAATAGTGTTTTTTGCAAATTTGTAATTTGTCACAAATTAGTTTTGACTCTGTATATGTATATGTTATATATATATATATTATATAATATATATATAATCTGTCAAGTACTGATAAATTTGCATACCATGTTTTTGCAACAATGTTATGACTAATGGAGAGAAAGCTTTTTTTTGCAAAACAACATTAGATAATGTTGTTCATACTTATACACATATACATTTTTATCTTTGTTGGTAGATTTAGCAACAAATAATATAGCAACAATTTATTCACATATGAAAAACTTATATACAGTTAAATTAACTACAAATTCCCGAAGATAATATTTATATATAGTTCTTTATCTTGTTATTAAATTTAGCAACAAATAATATATCAACAAAAATTTCTTATTAGAAAAACTTATACGCAATTTAATTATCTATATATTTTCCGAATTTCATTCATTATTTTTCAAAATACACCATATCCATAAACAGATGTCCTATAATAGTCCCAAGAATCCTAGAATGAACCTATTTACATATTAAAAACAAATACACAATTTAATTATCTATAAATTTCCTAAAGGCAACATTGAATTTCATCCATATTTTTTCAAAATACATCATATTCATCAACAAATGTCCTATAATAGTCCCCATAAACCTACAGTGGACCTATTTGAACGCATATAAGTCCAAAGGAGTACATTTTGAAATTTTGTTCAAAATATTGTGAAATATCGATGAGAATTGAACTTATACAAAATTAAATTATCTATAAATTTAACAAAGACAATATTAAAATTCATCCATTATTTTTAAGATACAACATATAAATTTTATCTATTAACAAATATCCTATGATAGTCCAAATAATCCTACAGTGGACCTATTTGAACCATATTATATATATATATATATATATATATTATATATATTATATTTGACCATATTAGTCCCAACTAGGACATTTTGATATTTTGTTTTTTATTTATCGATTCGTATTGATATCGTTGATGCATAACGTAAAACGTGACAGATGTTTAATATCGAAATTAAAAGTTTCATCGACTTTTTCTTCATTTTCTAAATTAATTGTTATGATCGATGATTGGAACGAAAAGAAAAGAAGGTTCTGATAGAATGACTATTTGACTTATGTATGTTTATTTAATATATTTATTGTAACTTTTAAACCATTCGATTAATATGAATGTAGTATTTAGAAAAATTGTTGAAAATGAATTATCTAATATATTATTGTCTTATAACTTGTTAACCCAAAGCAATTTGGTATACTTCAAAATTACGTTTGAAATTAAATAGTTGGTTGATATTTAATAGGATTACGTTTGTTTATTATATCTCTTGTAACTTCTAAACCATTCGATTAATATGAATGATGTATTAAAAAAATAGTACAAAATTAAATAATCTACAACATTGTCCATTATTACAAAAATTTGCATAATACACGTGATTGATTTGATGGTTTCCAATTGAAATGTTAGAAAACGAATAACTTATTTTTTTGCATTTTTTGCACAATTTCACATTGAACACAATGCCGGTTTGTCACATAAAATTAACTGAGCAGAGAACAATGAGTAGCTGTCAAACAAATGAGTTGCAGTCAAACAAAAAATATTAGTTTGTAGTGCATGCTAAGTATCAGAGATGACGCTGTATGTGAAAAAAGAAAAGTGTTTTCCGCTTTTCTGTTGAAATCTTTCTTCAATTTTCTTTGCTATAAACCTCGCGGAGTCCGAGACCTTTCCAACGAATGCAAAATCGTCGAAATCGGTTCGTGCGTTCTGGAGTTATATCGTCAGGAAGGAAAATCCGACTTATTTTTATATAATAGATATCTTAAAAACCATTCGATTAATATGAATGATGTATTAAACAGAAACTCGGTATACTCAAAAATTGCATAACAAAACAACACATCCCATGTCTTTTCTCTCATAATCGGATTCTAACGAGATTCCAATAAGAATATCGTACTTATGCACGTAAGTCCACTTTCTTGTTTTTTCTTATTGGATTCTAATGTTTTTCCGGCTGTTTATCGTCTAATAGAATTCACTTCCTAGAAATTTGTACGATAAACACATTCTATACTGTATTGGAATTTGTTTTTATTGTTTAATGTTTTTTGTGTTATTGTTGTTGTTGTTTATTGAGGAACTAATAATTCATTACCAATTAGATTGGTAATTCATACATGCATATATATATACACACATATATATATATATACCAATAATTTTTCTGTCGGCTTTATGGGTTAAATACAGGAAAATAAAATTAATTAAATTACAATTAAAAGAAAGAAAATCTCTCTTAATTTCTTTTATTCATAAATCTCTTCCAAGAAAGAAAATACGAGTTCACGACAACTCAACTGTGTCAAATGAATTATATAGAGTGTAAAAAGGGGAAAATAAATAAGTAATTATATAAATAATATTAATAATCATAATAACTAGGTGTAAGTGGCATTTGGCTTTGAGAAAAGTTACATAAACTTCACGATACAAGACTCACTTATTATATCTCTTGTAACTTTTAAACCAATCGATTAATATAAATGATATATTCGAAAAATTTGTACTAAATTAAATAAGCTATAAAATTGTCTAATACTGAAACACTCTACAGCAACTCGACATACTCCTAAAATCCAACGGACAACCAATCTCTAATTAAATAATACAGCTACGTCTATTTATTATATAATGTGTAACTTCTAAACTGATCGCAAATCATATAGTGCATTAGGCAAATTTGTTTAAAAATAAATTTTATATATTTTTTACAACACGAGACTCTACAACAACTCGGTATACTCCTAAATGACAATTATTTAAGTAAATCTCATTTTTGTAGCAAGAAAGTGATTTCAGAATATATATATAAAGCACATTTATTTACTATTTTACTCATAACTTTTATAATATTTATAAAAAATTGGAAGTATATATAGCAAATTTATTTACTGTTAAATTATTTATAACCTTATCTTACAATATAAAACCCCACAGCAACGCGGTATACTTCAAAATTAACGTTAAAATATTCGTTAAAATTGTTTGAAATAAGCCTATCCTGTTCAAAAGAAAGAAATCTTAGCTTTTATGAGCATTTGTTTATTATAGCTCTTATAACTTTTAAACTATTCGATTAATATGAATGATGTATTGAGGAATCCGTACAAAATTAAACAAGCTATAAGTTTGTCTAATATAATAAAACTCTATAACTCTGTATACTTTAAAATAACATTAGAAGACAAAATATTAATCTCAACTAGCTAAAATGCATCATGTATCTGTTTACACACACACACATACTTTTTCCAATTTTGGTCCCATTCGATTCAAAATGGCTTGAAACGTCGAGAAAACATAAAATTAGCCAATCGAATTTTTGATGAAAACAAACTCTTCCTTCGGGAAGTTAATACTATTATATATCATATAGTTTTATTATTTATGAACAGATTCTTTAAATACAGTAGTTTTCAAAAAGAAGAGTGCGCGTATGGTTCACACGCGATTCAAGTAAATCTTATTTGCTACTGTACAAGATGGCATTTAAGTGAGAATAATTACATACAACAATTTTGAATAATGTTTATTATATATTACTCTATGGTAACACTCGTGATGCACACATTTATTAGTGTTAACCTTTATACACATTTATATAATGATAAATTATAAATTTTATATTTA